TGGTCTAAAATGATTCCAATTATAAAGTGCCATGTCAATAGATCCATCATCATTGACAGAAAAAGATGGCAGAAATATTGTATGCATGAGATTTTAACAAGAAAAAAAAAAAAAATTAAATTAAATTTTTTTTATGGTTTTATTAAGATTTTGAATAAAAACATTGCAATACATAGTATTGTAATGTATTAATAAAAATATAACAATACAATGTGTGTGTGTGTGTTTGTGTGTGTATATATATATATATATATATATATATACATATATTTTATCTCACTCAAAATGTCCATGAAGTGCTAATCCAAACCACTACACAATCGTGAGTGTGAAATGCCAAAGCATAAACAATAATAAATTCCTAGGAAAATACAGATATACTGAAGGTATTAAAACTTAATTTAATGAATTTATTAAAATAAAAGATTATACAGAAAAAAAATATATCAAAATTTAGTGTCACAATCAAGTTTGAATTTGTTTCAAATTGGGATCCACGGATGATTATGATTTTAATATGAATATGACAAAGTTTTGGGGCTCATTGCACGTGCGGCTTAAGCGACATTGTGGTTTATTGATGCGCAGCTTAATGGCACTGACCTGTATGTATCACAAATAAAGTGAAGTCGTCTTTAAAGTGTACAAGTTGGAGTGGCACTTTCTCTTTCGTTTTTTTTTTTTCTTTTTTTTAACAAAATAGAGCCTACTCTAATTTTTGGCCTGGAATTGGTGCCAGAGTAGCTCCAATATTAATCAAACAAGTAAAATCTTGATCAAGAGCCAATATTTGAAAATAAGAACATTAAATTCACTGTACCATAGATTCTAAGGTTAAAGAAAAAAAAAAAAAAAATCTGTATCCAATTTGAATTTTAAACCAAAATTTTTCTCTAGAGTTTATCATTATCTATGGCTGGTTTACTCAGTCAGCAACAAAGATTTTATTTTATTTTAATTTTTATGAGTAAAAGATAAGTTATCTATAATTTAGAAAAATGCATATCTTGAATTCAACTATGATATGTGCCATGTTTTCAAAAAATGCATAAAATTCATTATTTTTTCGAGGGTTGGTAAAGAGATCTTGTCAAATACAAATTATGCTATTCTTGTGACAAAAAAAAAAAAAAAAAACAACAAAACAACAATAAAAAAATAAATAAATAAATATTTCTATGCACACACCCCCAAGACAAAGTCTAACCAAATTTCATTTTACTGCTAATAGTTTAGCTTCTATGGATGACAAAACACTAAACAGCAATTTTTACCCATTTTAGTGGTAGATAACTATGAAAATACAGAAATAAGAAATAAAATAAAAAAAAGCATTACTTCACATATTAGACAACAGATCTGTCAAATATCAATTTAGAATCTTCAAATGCAAAGTTAAAATCTGCCAAATCAGGCTATATTGAAATCAGCAAAAATTGACAGCAATAACTATTAGATGAAGAGCATAAAAAAAGCTAAAATTTTAGGGCTTTTCATTTCTCATAGGTGGCTGCAATAATACTAAAATTATATAAAAATCTGATGTTGCCAATAGGAACTTCCAGGGGAGGGGGAAATATATATATATATAATATAATATAAAAGGCTCAAAAACTAATATTTCATGGTTATAAATTATTGCATTGGAATCATAATCACAATCCAAATCATCAGACCTCTGATGATTTGGATTGTGATTATGATTCTAATGTAATAAATTATAACCATGGAATATTAGTGTTTGAGCCTTTTGTATTATATTCTTACTCTGTCCTGGAAATTCGAGTTCTATCTGAAGTCTATCCTCTTGGGAATTTATATATATATATATATATATATATATATATATATATATATATATATATATATATATATATATATATATATATATGTGATTTAAGAAACTGTATATATATATATATATATATATATATATATATATATATATATATTAATGCTAAATATTAAAGTATAATAATTTTGAAGAAAAAAAAAAATTTAAAACTGGAAGAAAAATCTAAAGATAGACATAAACAAAAGCAAAATTTCATGAAAATGTGCATGTAAAAGAACATTAAATTCATGAATGTGTGTATATACAAAACAGAGCAAAAGAACAGAATGAAAAAGATGCGCCATAGATTATAAAAAAAAAAAAAATTGGAATAACCGTTTAAAACCACAAACCCCTAAAGACTGGAAATTTTACCAAGAAACTTTGAAGTTGGAATAAAATTGATAGTTAAAAGTTAAGCACACTTTTCATATAAAATAAAACAAAATAAATATATATGATGACTGAAAAGTAACTCCCTGTTTTATGTATGAGCAGCCAGTCAGGAGTCTTTACTTAACACACTGTGATTTTTTTTTTCTTTGGGGTTACTTAAAGGAGAAAGTTTATACCAAATCAAGACTTTGGAAGAACTTGAAGGACGAATACAAGAAGTTATGTCTTCAATACCACAAGAGTTCCTGGTGAAATCAGCTGACGTGATTCCAGGGTGGATAAAGCTGGTAGCGAAATCTGGTGTCCATATCAAATTTGAATTAAAACCTCATGCCAAACACTTTCCTCTCACATCCACTTCTTGTAAAAATTACAGTTAATAAATAAATATTTTAAAATGGGGATTTTCTTTTCAATCCATATATATAATAATAGGTTTATATATAAAAGAAAAGTTTACTGAATCAGTGAAATTAAGTAACCATTTCTGCTGTCATAGTCATATACAAAAAAAAAAATGTAACCTCATATACATACTTAAACTTAATGTTAAAATAATCCTAATGGATTCTAATACATTTAACTGTTCTTAAAAAGAATATAGTAAAATAAAAATTAAAAAGGAAAATATTTCAAATCGTAGTTAAATAAAAAGTATTGTAAAAAAAATCTTTAATTTTAAAAGATGACGTTAAAAAATTTTTTACCGTTAACAATTTTTTTTTTTTTTTTTTTTTTTTAAAATTCAGACGACATCCATTCAACCGACGTCAGGTTTCAGTGTAAAATACATCCTCACCCCTTACCAAAATGTAGCTAATAACTGATACAATGATACTGTCATAAGGAAAATCTAGACACCCCGTGTTCAATTTGAGTAGAATATTCTGTAACCATGGAAACGTGATTTTAGCTGTGTATTTAAAACCCGGTAAATTTTAAAAGTTACTCCAAAATTCGCTTGAAGATGAAATAGAACTAATGCTTTTAATTTATTTGCAAAAATAAAATTAGGGGTTTTTTAGCTTCTATTTTTGAAACATGGTTGGAACTGTGTAGCGAAAATAACCATATTTTAAATCAATTAATTTATAATATATATATATATATATATATATATATGACATTAAATACCATAATCTGCACTTAGAATGAGGCCCACTAGCATGAACTACAGTGTCAACTTGATGTAATATGAAAGAATACAAATTCAAAATTTTTCTATTCAGGAATGCAATGTCCATCTGCAAAATACTTGTTTGTTGAACACAATGTTGTGTATATACACACACACACAGAGTATAGCTGGCCACTTGTATTTGAGGATACCTGTCTACTAAGTCAGTTAGCCAATCCCTATTGCAGACGCTTGCTCAAGCACATTTGTGTTTATTCAAAACCCACAGAACCCACCTGTGGTTTATACTGCAACTATGATGAGCAGACCTTAGTTACAGTTTCTGGGAAAGAGTGTGTTATCTAGTGTGATCAACATTTTGAACAAGGCCAGCATGCTCAAGCCCTTGGCCACAATGACTTGTAACTTTGTAATAGCACTGCTATCAACAGCACCCAAGGGTTCCATCTACCCAATTTCATTCACAAGGCTCGAGTCAACCCGTGGTACGGTATTCAGGTACTTTCCAAAGGTGCCGCACACTGGGATTGACTCCTCTAATCTGATAACATCAGGAAGTCTCGACCATAGTGAGGTTCGAGTCAATGGGAATAGCACAATTTGTACAACAATCTTGAATGCCTACAGGTTCTATTCCAGAAAGTATGTTGTCAAACACTTCAAGTTATTCAGTAAAAATTAAATTGATTTTTCTTTTTCCTTGCTCAGTGATTCATTTCCTTTGCTAGTCCCATATGAATTTTGTGAAGATCATTTTACAATCTAACTTGGGCACATGTCATTTTATGGCAGGAAAACTATTTGCTTATTCATCACTTTTCATCTATAAATTCAGTCAGTCAGTTATATGCCATACGTAATAGACACTTAGGCGATCATGTATCTTTTGATATATGACTGATGAGGCAGATTTTTTCCCTCACAGTACATTCCATTTCTTTCTGTGGTAGACCAGTTGCCATCCAAGACTATAGAACCCGGTCTGCCCTGCTATTTACCCATAGCTGGAGGGGAAGAAGAAGAGGATTCATACCTTTCCCAAGGGTATTAGCACATAAGTGAATGCAATGGATTGACTGGAATTCAAACTTGGCTCTCCGATTCCTCAAACCGAGTCGCTATCCATTACTCCATTCTCCTTGTAATGATGATTTTTATTCAGTTCAGTTTTCAAATTTTATCAACATTTAAAACTAATTGTTTTTTTTTTTCAACCCTCCATTATTGTCATAAAGTGTTTGAACAACCCACAAAATGTTTTCCTTGAATATTTAGCAAATGGCAAGTCAAATTTTCATTAGTAAAGTAACTTTCTGAACATCTCTGTCAAGTAACAAACTTTTAGGTTCTAGCCATAGTATTTGATTGATGAATTCATTTTCGATCACTTACCAACCCTTCCCAGGTTATTTAAAACCAGAAAATATTTTTAGATTGTAAGAAATTTTTAAGATAATGACTTTGTGATACAAGATTTACTAATTAACCCATAAGTGGGGGAAGAGGTGAAGTCATTCCTTTCCCAATGGTATTGACGCGTAAATGAATATAATGAAATCAAATGGAATTGGAACTACTCTTTGATCAACAATTTCGAGCCATTATCTATGACACCACCTGCACATCTAAGATTATAGCACCTGGTATTCCCAAGTGGTCACCAATTGAGGTACTGACCAGGCTCAATGTTGCTTAACTTTAGTGATCATACAGGAACCAGTGTTCCATTGTGATGTGGCCGTAAGTCATACTCATAATATTTGGGTGAATTACAAGCAGTTTTTTTTTTTTTTTTACACATTTATCCTATTAAAAACAGGTAGAGGGTTATTGTGTGGTGTCATATAAATGTAAGAAAGGGCAAGAAGTGACATTTTGGGGGTTATGTAGGAAAGATAATGTCTAACTCTAGACTTGAAAAGGTCAAGATTTAATTAGGGAATAACATTTCAGAGTTCAGTCAGAGATGTTAGAAGTATAGTCTTAGAAGTAAACTTTAAAAAGAAACCCAAAACAAAGGATGAACCTCTATTTCTGTTCAAAAGACCAGGGAGGAGTTTGAACCGGATGATAGGCAAACCTATCTACTCCTATAGGTCCTGTAATGCTAGTCCACAAGGTTCAAAGAAAGATGTTTCAGGCTTCATGCACTCATTAAAACATCATATGATAGCAACTCTCTAGTATGATAATGATTGAGAAAAAAACTAGATCCTTTGATCCTGTGTACCAAGTTTTGTACATTTAAATTTAATATATTTTTTAACATGTGCAGCAATGTTATAGAATTGTTGCCTGGCTGTGCTGGCCCATTTATGGAAGAAATAGAAGCTGACCATATACCGGAAATAAATGACAAAAAACCTGACAATTATTTCTCATAGGTGTTGCCATTATCCATTTTGAGAGATTACTCTGCAGTCAGTCAGCTATGTGCCATACATGCTACACACTTAGGTGATCATGTATCTTTTGATACATGACTAACGAAGCAGATTTTTTTCCCCCCACAGTAGGTTGCCATTTCTTTCTGCAGTAGACCAGTTGCCACCCAAGGTTATAGAACCTGGTCTGTCCTGCTATTTACCCATAGCTGGAGAGAAGAGAGATTCATACCTTTCCCAAGGGTATTAGCATGTAAGTGAATGTAATGAATTCAACTAGAATTCAAACTCTGCTCTCAGATTCCTCAATCTGAGTCGCTGTTCATTACTCCAACATGTCTCCTCTCTGCAGTAGAGAAACTAAATGATAGCTCTCAAAACACAACATATTAAAATGTAAAAAAAAAAAAAAAAAAAAAAAAACCACCAAAACAAAAAAAACAACCCCAAAAAACACCAAAAGTCAAAAAAAAAAAACCACCAAAACAAACAAAAAAACCCACCAAAACAAAAAAAAAAAACCGAAAAACACCAAAAAGTCAAAAAAAAAAAAAAAAAACCACCAAAACAAACAAAAAAACCCACCAAAACAAAAAAAAACCCCAAAAAACACCAAAAGTCAAAAAAAAAAAAAAAAAAAAAAAAATCACAAAATATGCTTCATTAGAAAAAAGAAAAATCAGGCAGACATGTCAACTTCTGCTTGTCTTTTGGAACAAGCAGAGAAAATACATTTCAATGTTTCAATGTGGTAGGGTCATAAGCCCTCATTACTAGAGAATTCAAGTTTAGAATTTGTGAAGAAAAATCAGGCATTTCACTATTACTTAATAATCATGCTGATTTGACCTCCATCTTCTGGCTTTATCCTTCTTTATTTTGAATAGGTATCATTCTCTTGTTCAAATTTAAATTTAATTTAAATCACAGAGAAAAAAATTTTTCATTGAGGGGTTTGTGCCCACCAGGGACTCACTTTGATCAAAATATACTTATCCAAGTACTCCATGTGTCACTCCCTTGTTCAAATTTAAATTATATCAAAGGAATAAAATTTTTAGTGTGTGTGTGGAGCCCTCCTCCTTTGCTGAAAATGAAGTATACTTATCCAAGTACCCTGGGTAATGTAGTTTCATAATATATATGGAGGAGATTGATAACAGACAGAGTACACACACACACATATATATATATATATATATATATATATTAATTAAGTTACGAAGAACTTGGCAAACCGAATGGGTAATTCCAAGGAGGATGAAATCCTGAGAACTCAATGTGAATACAGAGCTAATATTTAATGAAAAACAGACCACTTTAAGGTACCATTACAATAATTTATTTCACCAAAATTGTTACCTGATGATCCGGAGTACTTTAAAAAGGATTTTGGTGAAATAAATTATTGTAATGGTACCTTTAAAGTGGTCTGCTTTCATTATATATATATATATATATATATATATATATATATATATATATATATATATATAATGAATTTTGCATTCACAGTTTTTGAGAGATAATTTTCTTTTTCCAGACAAGTCCTAATATTTAAACCATAGCTGGAAGGAGCCGCTATATATTACACTATTTGCCCATCTGAGCTTACAGCATCTGGTATTCCCAAGTGGTCACTGATCTAGGTTGTGTCCAGGCTAAATGTTGCTTAACTTCACTGATTGTATGAGAATTGGTGTTTCACTGTGCTATGGCCATAAGCCCTCCTCATCACTAGAGAATCCAAGTTTAGCTTAAAGAAAAATTATTTAAGCTGAGCTTTGTCTGGTACAAGATCATGGCAGTGAGAACTCCTATGAAAATAAAACTCACTACAATACTTGCTTTACTGTAGTCATCCTTGTAGATATCTAAGGACTAGAGCTTAGTGTGGCACAAGGTCCCATTCGGCGAGCACTCAGTAATAAACAAACTTATTAGCAATGGTCAAAACGATGAGATCTGCTCAGCAAGGTTTTATTTTAAATCTGTGAAATTTATAATGCATTGAGTTGGGGAGGGTGGAGAACATTGTATACAAGATCACCCCCTCCATTTTTACAGTCAGGTAGTGTGCACATACTGCTGGGCAGCCTAGAAAATAACTTTGAATATGAGAGCTAGGAGGATTTTTTTGTTTTGGTAGTGGAGGAACAGAAGAAAGAAAATTTGAAAGGGGCCTAACTCAGCAAAAGTTATATCTGCATAATTCTTCTATATGCCGTGCCCCTTCAGGATTTGGAAAAATCATTGCTCTCCACAACTTCCTATCCTTAGCTCTTTGTAAGCTTTTTTTCTATCTCTCCTAATTACTGTTCTGCCAACCATTCCCACAAGCTCATTAGGTAAATTATTCGAGGCTTTCCTTCCTCCTCTTGCTGTCAATGTCCTGTAAGTTTTCAAATTCTTCATCATGTGCTCTATTAATTTCAGATCTCTCCTTTTGATTCTAATAGTCTTACCGTTTCCATTTTTCTTAAAACTTCCTTGTTACTCACATGTTCAGTCCATGGTATTCTCAGCATTCTTCTGTAGAATAACATTTCTACTGCTTCAGATGCCTTCTTCATCTGTGAGAAGATTGTCCAGCATTTACAGTCATGTAGAAGGAGCAATATAACAGTTCAGTACTCTTTTCTTTGTTTCTAGCAAAATTTTCCTGTTTCTTAAAACTTTGCTTAGCTCTTTTCGAAATCACATTAGTGCTCCTGCTATATAGCGATCCTTTATAAAATCCAAAGAATCAGCAATATTATAGGTCCTGGCCTGACATCTCCACTTCAGTCACTTTCCCACTGCTATAAAGTTGCTTCCCTCTGCCTTTATTTTTTTTTTTTATAAATACTTCCATGGTAATTGCTCGGATGAATTCTTCACTATGGTACCTAGACTTTATGCATTTAAGCGCAGTACTAGATTGGCAGCAAGGTCTCATCAATTTACAGTTGAATCAGCTTGATGTAACTAAGTTCTATTTTAATATTTTTTTTTTCTCGCACTTCTCACTTGTGGAACTCTTCTGGCTCCATGCTTTCCAGTTAACTTTAATCTTCAAAAATTTAAATGCAATGTCAATCATTATCTACTGTCTTCCTGATTAATCTTCTATTGTTCTCACCCCTTAGTAACGTTTCTGTTTTCTAATTCTTCCAAACCCAGTAACCCATTTTGTTTTAGTGGCTTTATGTAATGCCGTACTTGGGGATAAAAAGGAGAAAAAAAAAAAAAAAAAAAAAAAAAAAAAAAAAAAAAAAAAAAAAAAAAAAAAAAAAAAAAAAAAAAAAAACAAAAAAAAAAAAAAAAAAAAAAAAAAAAAAAAAAAAAAAAAAAAAAAAAAAAAAAAAAAAAAAAAACAAAAAAAAAGAGAGAAAAAAAGAGAGAAAAAAAAGAGAAAAAAAAGAAAAAAAAAAGAAAAGAAAAAGAAAAACGAGTTTCCCTATTCAAATGCACCTTCAGCTTTCAACATGACATTTTCCATTTTGTTAAAATACTTTCTAGATATTTAAATTTTTGTATTTGCTTAATTTTGGTGTCTTTAATCAATTCATACTTCATTTTTGGGTCTTGTTCCTTTTGTTGACAACTACAATGTATACAATATACATTCTATCTTTTTACGATTTCTTTTGCATTTGACTTTGAGCCTAACTTCACAAAATCCATCAGAATATTATCGATGTCATTCTTTGAGAGTTTGATCATTTCAAAAATAGTAAACCATGTAAATTGTAAATAAATAAATAAATAAATAAACAAAAAATGTATATCAAGTGGCAAGAAGCCCCTTTTAAAAATAATATACGGTAAATTTCAAAATAAGATCCAGATCATATGTTGGAAATAAATCCTTTCATAAGAATCAAGTTGTTTGATGTAGAATTCATCTTTATTTTATTTATGCTACTTTTTTAGCCAATAGTACAATTTAAAAAAAAACTTTAAAAACATCAAACCTAAAAAGGTATGCTTCATTAGAGAAAAGAAAAATCAGACAGACATGTCAACTTCAGCTTGTGTTTTTAGGAACAAGCAGAGAAAATATAATTATTTACTAAAAATAGTAATATTTATTTCTCAACAAAATAAAAGTCATAATTTAATAAAAACTATTATTAGCTATTTTCCGGTCACCCAACTAATAATATTTTGGTGGAGATCTTAAAAAAAAAAAAAAAAAAAAAAAACGCGTCTTCTATTAGAAGGCTATTTATTTTACAGTGTCGCCGAAGTGTCTTTGAATTGGTAGGTCTTTTGAATTTGCAAGAGAATTTTCCATTTACAATATAAATAAAACAAAAGTTTGTTTGTTTTTTAAATTATAGGTGATTTATTTCATTAATTTTTATGGTTCGTTAAC